TTTAAAAAAAAAAAAATTATAAAAAAAAAAAAAAGAAAAGCCAAACTTTTTAAAAGAAACATGGGCAACAGACTTGAAAGGCATTTCACAGATGAACATGGATGTTCAATCAACTTAATTAATAATTAGGGAAATATAAATTAAAATTACAGTGAGATTTCAGATTGCCAACAATGATAAAAAGCTGACCTGGAGTTAGACTATGTAACAACTAAGACTCCTACCTCTTGCTAGTGAAAGTTTAAAATGGCACAACTACTTTGGAAAATAATTTTGCATTACCTGGAAGAGGTATAAATGCTCATATCATATGAACTAGTCAATTCTGCTCCTAGAACTATATCATAGAGGAGATTTTTATACATGTGTGCCAGGAGAAGTATCAAGAATTGCCAAAGCAGCACTGTTTATCATACCAAAATATCCAAACAACCTAATCACTACCAGAGGATGTAAAAATAAGATGCGCTACTACATTCACAAAATAGAAGGCTTATAGTAGTAAACAAATAATGAAATGTACTAGAGTCACAACTATCAAAGTAAACAAACCCCAAAATATATTACTGGGTGAACAACAACAAAGAAAAAGAAAATTGCAGAAAAATATGTAGAATTTGCCACAATTTGCAGAAAGTTCAAAACCAAGCAATGGAAAAGACTATGTGGGATATCACAAAAAATGAATTCAGGATAATAGTTACCTCTAGGGGGCAGGATAGGAAATGCAATTGAGAAGACCTTCAAATGTACTGAGTATACATTATTTCTTAATGTATCAGGGTATCAGTTTCATTATTCACTAAACTATATATATATACTATATATACTCATGTGTAATAGTGCAGTTTTAAAGAGTCAGTTGCACTGCTAATATATTCTAAAATTATGAAATATTTGCTGGCAAAAAATCTGAAAAAAAAAAAAACTCCACAAAATTTAACTGATTTTCATTTAAATGTTAGGTTGTTTTTTTTTTAAAGAATAAAATTCATTATAGTTACGCTGACAGATTTTCTTAGCAGATGTTGGTCTGTCTTTTAAAGAACAGGTTCCTCCTTCTTCCATCAGAATCTAGAAGAAAAACAAAATTTTAACAATTCCCAAGTATAAACAGTTAATACCCACTTATATCTCCCTTTTAATCTCACCAATTCATTTTACAGTGCTTTTCCTTTATATTACTTTAATTCAACAAAGATCTTAAAACTACAAAGAAAAATTTGCCTGTGATAAACAATAACAAAATTTAAATACGTTTTGAAGCAGCAAGCAACAGAATAGACACTGCTAAGAAACTGATGGAAAGGAAAGTCTTGAGGTAATCATAGTAAATGAAGTTCAAAGAGACCGAAATATGAAAGCAATCTGGAGATTTATTCTGTTAAGTTGGTATCTTAAGTTGGATATCAGTTTATATATTTTCAGGTTTTTTAAATAATAAAAGCCCACAAAATATAAATTTTCTGTAAAACAAACCATTGGTTTTCATTTTCATCAATTTCTATGAAATTTCTAATTTATTTTCATTTTCCATTTTTTTTCTCTTTTTCTTTTTAAAACCCAGAGTGTTTCATTTCCAAGAAGGTAAGGAGGTTAAACATCTTTTGTTGTTGTTGATTTCCAACTCAATGAATTATTAGAGACTGTGACTATGAATCTCTCCTTAGACAAATCTCAATCTTTCTTTATGGCTTATTACATGAATTATACTTGCAAATGTATCATGGACTTAGAAAAAATATATATTCTCTTTTGGTAAGACAGAGTGTTTTAATAAAGACAGGTAGGATAAAGGAGAAACTGTCTAGCTGTTCACCAAACTATTTCCCTTTCCTCTTAGGCATACAGCTAGACTACATTTCCTAGCCTCCCTTGGAGTTGGTTTGGACATGTGATTTAAGTTCTGGTCATGGGCAAAAGTGGTGTACACCACTACTACTCCTGGCCCATAAAAATTTTCTCCACAATCCTCTACTTCTGTTTCCCTTCTGCTATCTGATATCAACATACACTATAAGTGTGGAAACCACCAGTTAAAGACAGCAAAGCCCCCATCAGCTTGGAGTCCTGAATAACTTTATGGAGCAGAGCCTCTTCTCTAACCTCACTATTCAATCATTTAAAAAGTATTATATTCAACTCTTAAAACACTCAAGCCCCAAACTTGCACCACAACACACAAGTTGAGACAGTTATACAGACCCCAAGGCAAGCACATAAACCAATACCTACGTCGGATCTGCTTATAGAGGATAAATGACAGAAAAGATCATCCTAAAGAGAAGAAACTAAATTATTCAAAGAATTTCTCCCATACCCCAGGAGAACAAGCCTTCACAGTCCCTGCCAAGCTGGATTTCATAATTGGTATGGATCAGTAACTCCATATTTCCTCTTCTTCTGTTTTCTGAATGAGTTTTCTACTGCATTTTGCTCTGATACTATATATTTTATGTGACAGGCTTCTAATTTAACACACATCTAGAGACCTACTGAAAACTCTCCAAAGACTGTAGAGCCTAGCAGGCACCATCCTCACACTCTCCTTCTACTTTGTTCCAGGTCATGAGTACTGCCTGAAAACACTCCTGATGCACACATCTAGAACCCCAGTTTTTGCAGCTACCACCCATGGGATGTCCCTTGATCATCAGCTCTGATAGCCAATGGGGCTTTATGTATGCAGGTCCCACAGGACTGTAACAAACAGAAAAAGAATTCTTAATCAGCTACCAACCACGGGAGCAGTGATGAGACAGCTGACTGAAACACCCATTTCTTCTGTGAAAGAGGCCTATATTAGCTTATCTTCATACCTGTGGCCAGAGGAGCAAGCTTCTAATTAAACACATATCGAGGAGCCACCTGAAATCCTCTCCAGATTCTGTGGAGGCCAGCAGGTACCACCTTCATCCTCCTTCTGCCTTACCCCAGATTGCTGGTGTCTCTAAGAAAGGAGCTTATACAAACACCCAGCATCCCAGCTTTTGTGGTTGCTGCTCAGAGGACACCTCCTTTGATAGCCTGGTTCTGATGGCCAGCAGGGCTTAGGTTCACAGATTCAACGGGATGACAGCAAACAAAGAAACGCTTCTTAACTGGCTATCCCACCAGGGCTTAGTGCAGAGGGTACAGACAGATGCGAATCTCAAAGTCTGGCCATGAAAGAGGTACATTTGCATACTTTCAAAGCTCCCACCTGAGGGTGCAGCTTCCGATCAAACTGAATCTGAGTACTGACTGAGATCCTTCCCATTGGGACACTGGCAGGTTTTGGCATACCCTCAACTACTGGGAATTACTAAAAATAAAGTAGGCTACTTGGAAAATCACAAAAGTTTGAGAGGCAACCAAGAGATAGGGCAGGGTTGAAACATAGGTTTTATTTCCTACTTAAGGCCCCACCTTCAGGACTAAGAGAGGTGTCTGTTTTATCTAACACATAGAAACGAAAACAGAGTCAAAGCAAATGACGACACAGAACAATATGTTACAAACAAAAGAACAAGATAAAGCCTCAGAAAAAGACCTCAGTGAAATGAAGATAAGTGATTTTCCCAATAAGAGTTCAAAATAACAGTCATAAAGATGCTGTCACTGAGATCAGGAGAACAATGCAAGAACAAAGTGAGAATTTCAACAAAGAAACAAAAAATATAAGAAAGTACCAAACAGAAATCACAGAACTAAAGAATATAGTAACTGAACTGAAAAATATTAATAAAAGGATTAACAGAACACTTGATGAAGCCAAAGAAAGGATCAGGAACTCAAAGAAAGGGCAGTGGAATTTGTCAAATCAGATGAGCAACAAAAAAAAGGAATTAAAGAAAGTGAAAATAGCATAAGGCACTTATGGGACAATATCAAATAAACCAGTATCCGTATTATAGAAGCCCCAAAAGGAAAAGGAGACAGGGACAGAAAACTTACTTGAAATTATGGCCAAAAACTTCCCTAACCTGGGGAAAGAAACAGAGTTCCAAATAAGCTGAACCCAAAGAAACCACACTAGGACACATAATTAAATTATGTTTTTGTAATTAAATTACAAGAAGAAAATTTTTAAAAGCAGCAAAAGAAAAATAACTTGTTACATACAGGTAAACCCCACAAAACTATCATCAGATTTTTCAACAGAAACATTGCAGGCCAAAAGAAAGTGGCATGACATACTCAAAGTGCTGAAAGGAAAAACTACCAACCAAGAATATTCTACCCAGCAAAGCTGTCCTTCAGAATAGGAGAGATAAAGAGCTTTCCAGATAAGCAAAAAGCTAAAGGAATTCATCACTAGACTGGGCTTTACAAGAAATGTTAAAGGGATTTCTTGAAGCTGAAATAAAAGGTATCAATTAGTAACAGGAAAACATGAAAGTACAAACTTACTGGTAAAGGTAAATATATACTAAAATTCAAAATAATGTTGTAAAGGGGGTGGGTTAATCACTTACAAAGCTAGTATGAAGGTTAAAGACAAAAGTAGCAAAAACAACAATGACAGTAATTTGTTAATAAATACATAAGACCAGGGGGAGGAGGAGCAAGATGGTGGAGGAGTAGGAGACCTAAATTTCGTCTGGTCCCAGGAATTCATCTAGATAGGGATCAAACCATTCTGAACATCTACAAACTCAACAGGAGATCGAAGAAAAGAATAGCAGCAACTCTCTGAACAGAAAAGCAACCACTTTCTGGAAGGTAGGACATGTGGAGAAGTGAACCCCAGGCGGTATTCGGGAAGACAGATGGCAGGGGAGGGGGCCTCTGTCAGCCGCTACCGGCAAGTGATAGAGCAGCAGAGCACAAAATCGGACTTTTAGAAGTCGGCTCCACTGAGGGACGTCGCTCCAGTAGCTAAGCGGGGAGTGGAACCCTCACTGGGACAGTGTGGTCTCAGGACCCTCGGGGTCACAGAAAGATCAGGGGTGCCTGAGTGCAGCAGAGCTCCCAGGTATCAGAGCAGGGAAGCTGGCTGCAGAGACGGAGCCAAGGAGTGGGCTCTCAGCTCGGGGTTGCCATAAACCATGATCCATGGCACAGTCGGGCCACTGCTCCTCCAGGAGGGACCCAAAAAACGGCAGATCCAGGTAGACTCCCCTTTCTCCCCGGGGGGTAAGTGGCGCAGGAGCGCACCACAGGAGCACACCGCAGGAATCGGCTGGGTTTGGAGACTCCAAATGGGGTCATGAGCGAGAGATAGAAACGCTCGGTCACAGGCCGGGTGAGCACGGAGTGCACCCAGACACCAGGGGGACGGGAGTGATTGACTGCTTTTCGCTGGGGGCTCACTGAGGAGTGGGGCCCCGAGCTCTCAGCTCCTCCGGGGTGGAGACTGGGAGGCCGCCATTTTTACTCTCATCCTCCAAAGCCGTACGGAAAGCTTGCAGGGAACAAAAGCTCCAGAGAGCAAACCCGAGCAGATAACTTAGCCTGGACTGGGCAAGGGCGGGGCAATTCTGCCTCCAGCAAAGACATCTGAGACCACGGCAACAGGCCCCTCCCCCAAAAGATCAGCAAGAACAGCCAGCCAAGACCAAGTTTACTGATCAATGAGAACAGCAGAACTCTAGCGCTAGGGGGAATACTGCACATAGAATTCATGGCTTTTTTCCCATGATTCTTTAGTCTTTCAAAGTTAATTTTTTTTTAACTTTCTTTTCCTTTTTTTTTTGTTGAATTTTTCCTTTTCCCTTTTTCAACCAACATCTTATCAATCCCTTTTTAAAAAAACCTTTTTTATTTTTCATTTTTACAGTCATATTCTATCCCTTCATAGTAGTTACCCTTATTTTTGGTATATATATATATAAGTTGCTCTCTCTTTAAAATTTTGGGATACAGTTTCTTCTAACAGACCAAAATATACCCTAAATCTCTAGTGTATGGCTTGTTCTAGTCTCCTGCCTGATCACATTCTCTCCCTT